TCATCTTAAAGATGATGTAGTAAGGGGGGTGGGGAGGTTGGGGGATGGAGGATTTTTGTGAAATTGTGTCTCCTAATTATGACAGGGATGTAACACACAGGGACTCACAGTAACCACTGCCAAGACTTGCACAAAATCATGCCAGCAAAAATTTAGTTTAGACTGGGGGAGGGTCTTGCTGAGGAACTACTGGCAACTGATGGATGCTGTGAGGGGGAGAGCCACTTTTCTTTGTATGCTGCCCATGCTTTAGTGGACAGCCCTATACCCACACACAGACTAGCAGCACTGAGTGAACTCAGTGGGTTTTTTTTTTTTTTTAAAAAAAAAAAAAAAAAAGAATCCATGAAATTTGAAGGGAAAGTAGTAGTGTGAGCATGACAGGAGCTGGAAGAGAGGAGAGGCACTGATCAAAACAAATTCATGAGCTAAAGAGCCGGCTTAGTGAAGAGCACTGCCTGCTTTTCCAGATGACTGGGGTTCAATTCCCAGCACACAGCACCTCACAGCTTTCTGTAACTCCAGTTCCAGGGCATCTGATGCCCTCCTCTGGTCCATAAAAGCATTGCATGTGGATGGTGAACATATATATATATATACATATACACACATATGCAAGCAAGACATTCACACACATAAAATAACGATAAATGAACCTTACAAAACACATTCATGTATGCAATTCTCAATAAAATTTTTAAAAATAACTGCTGATGTGTATCACAGTAATGAGAGAATTGATATGTTAGCCATTCGTTCAAACAAAGAACACAACTCTGGCAATAATAGGAACTTAAGATGTCATTAGCCAAGTCTGCAGAAACTGTAAGCCAACTAACTGTCTTGATAGACATTTTGTAAGATGCAAAAATATCCATATCTTTCATAGTTAATCAGAATTTCAAAGGTATCATGTCATACTTCAGTGGGTTAATGTGCTCACATAAGTATTATCAGCCCTGCACAGTAAAGAAGGAATCACTAACTGGATGATATGACTTAAATTTCAATCAAGTAACAAAACTAAGAATTTGCTTCTTCTGCCATCCCTAAACACAAACTTACTACATAAACCCAACACTTCTAGGGAACTAGATAAATCGGATAGACCCAAGATGGCTGGATAAAGCTACTAATTACCTCATGTTCATTAACTGTATCCCTTGTCATTTTTAACAGATGTTCAAAGCACTGACTCAAAGTCAGTGTTACCCTCCATAGCTTATACTTCTGAAATAGAGCAGTGGATTCATGGGTTACTGTCTGCTTTGCTTTGGCTCCTCGGGTACTTTTATTGTTGTTTTGTTTTGTTTTGTTGTGATAGGCCCTTGGTATGTGTAGCCTAGTTTGGTCTCAAACCATGACCCCTTTGCCTCAGTCACCCAAGTGCTGGCATTAAAATTACCAGTGTATGCCACCATGCCAGGCCATATATATGGGTTATTATTTAAGTATGTGTGTAAAAGGCATCATTTTTAGGGGGTTACACGAATTTCTCTCTGTTTCAGAAACTAAGCAAATAGCTTTAGTGGAAAATACGAGAATATAATTCAGAACAACACTTCATAAACATTCCAGCACTCTCAGCCTATTGATAACATCACAGCAAGTTGACTGTGAAAGTGTGCACAGAAACTGGCAAAAACTAAGAGGGAATGCCCGGATACTCATCACATGTCCACACAGCCCCCAGCACCAACTCTGGTAAGCTGCTACCACTCTACAGATGGATAATTTATAATTAGATTACTCAACAATAAAAAACAAACAGCTGGGAGACATGGGGCAGACAGTGGAGTGATTAGTTTCAGAGTACTTTAGCCAAAGTATCTGCACCCACTGAGCTCTGAATGACATTCTCAAACACTCTGTGAAAGCTATGTCTTAATGCATTTGCTATTGTAGAATCTAGACTATTTAATTGGTATTAACAAATTCATGTGAAAACTATTTACCTTGCTCAGCTCACCCCACCATGTCCTAAGACCTAATGATCAGGTGTTTTTAACAAAGGTTTAAATAATATTCATATACTTTATATACATTATTTTGGAAGAATAGAAAAATACTGCTTCTTTAAAAGCTGCCATCTCTTGGTACCTCCTCGGGAATGTGGGAAACTGGTTCCAGGAAGCCCTGATGATTCTAAAATTAGAATTATAATCTGCAAACCTTTAAGAAAAGTATGCACAAAGGCTAGAGATGAATCCCCAGCAAAGGTAGTTCACAACCATCTGTAAATCTCATCCCCAGAAACTTGATGCTCTCTTCTGGTGTCTGTGGGCACTGAATGCATGAAGTGTACAGACATACATGCAGACAAAACATGCATACACATAAAAGAAAAAAGAAAGCATGTGTGCTTGAACACTATTGCTAGTTTAATGAGAAAGAAAGGAGCTATAGAGAGTAAAAAAAAAAAGAGTCTAAGTTAATCATTAAAATGGGCAATTTAGTAACAGCATTAAAAGAGTAGTTGCTCTAATTAATTAATTAACTAAAATAGGCAGGAATTAAGTCAGTTTAGAAGAAACTCAAGTGTACACAACTATTTGATTTCTGAGTGGCTAAACCTCCAAAATAAAATAGGATCAATTTAAATCACCCCACTTGTCCACAGGATACGAGAGCCAACCATGACATTTATATTTAATATGTACATTCAAAGCACAACAGACATTTCAAATAAAACTGGCTTTTCCTCTGCTGCTGTTTAACTTTTGGATGTTTTTTATTTTTTGTTTTTTGTTTTTTAATTATCTTTTCATGCGATAATCTATTTGAGCCTCACTCAAACCCCATCAGGTAGATTTGGTTCTTTACTATCTTAAAGATACAAAGGTCAAACCGCCCCAAGCCACAGCCTATAAGCAGAACACTTGAGATTCAAGCAGGCAGGCAGAATTCAGAACTGGTCTGGCTGGCTATATACTATGTGGAAAACTGCTTAATCACAGGTAATTTAAAGATGAAATGAGACAGCTTCCCCTGGATTTCTTTGCTTCTGTATAATACACAGATATTACCATAAATTAAACCCAGTGGAGGAAGAAAGGGGGGAAGGGCAATCACTCACACATCATGAAGAGGAACTTTGCCCTTACAGTCATTTTTGTTTGAAATGTCATTACTATCCTTAAATATACTTGGGGATGGGAGAGAGAGTCTGTCACTTTAGGGTAGTAATTACAGAGGGAAGGAAAAAGAACTAGGAATAAATTATTAAAATCATCAAAATTTCTGCTCACGCTGATCTTTCATCGTGCCAAAAAATGACTAGCACTGGGATATGAACTACTATATCAGCAGCAAATCTTGAGAGGGGAAATCTGGTAACACAGAAGCACCAGCAACTGCGTTCACTGCAGCTTCACCATGATAACACAGAACACTGAGAAGGCGAGTTCAAGAAATAAATAGGAGAAATGAATTGGATTTTGCCTGTGGTTTCCCTCTGCCAGAGACTCAGCAATAAATACTGCATGTCACTAGCTTGTCTTCTTGGAAGGAAAAACAAGGAAAATATTTGAGCCACCTCACGGCCTCAGGAGTAAGGCCTGATGTCACTGGGGAAATGTGCAGCATCTCAGCATTACCTTGTTCCAGTTTAAGGGCTTGCTTATCAGTCAGGTGACTAAAAGACAGATATTACACAATTGTGCTTGTGTGTACAACTTAAGAACCACTTATTCCCACAACAGGACTGTTAGCTCAGAAAGACAATTTAATCGGAATCACTCAAAGGTTTTGAGTTTCCCTTCCTCTCATAAACTCTCATCTATCTCATCACTTCAAAGTCTAATTTAGAATTTGAAGGAAAAAATGAGGATAGAAAATACATACAAGAACCTGAATATCAGGTGACAGAAATAAAAGGCTATTTCTAGAGCATGAGTCAAGACGGGTATTTAGCTCTGAGAAAACCAGAGCAAAGCATATGAATATAAAACACAAAATCTACACATGCTCCCAAGTACACTAATAAAAGTGTAACTCTCAAGTTACAAACAAAACTTCTAGATACAAACGCAAGGGTTTATGATCTCCAATACACTTGGTAGTCTATAGAAAACAAACTCAAAGGTGAATAACTACCAATTTATGACTTACACAATTAGGATAAAGAAAAGTATATAATTATGTGTGAAATTATAATAATAATTCAAATGTTCCTAATCACAAAATTGAAGAGATCCAAGGAAAATTATATAACTTTAGAAAATACGTTCTTTGTTACAAGGAATATCTTGGGAGGATTCCAAGATCCCAAGAACATTGCATTTCAGCAATGTTCAAAGCTGCAGATTATTATCTTATTTCATCATCTTCAATAAATAAGCACAGTGCTGGGCAAACAGGGGGGACCTGGTAAACAGTTATCCAATTTCACTGAATGAAACATTTTTTGTAGTTGAGAAAATTAAGACCCCTAAAATAACCAACACTGTTGTCATTTTTATTATTGTTGTGCACTACCACAACGACAAAAACCTTACTTTAAGCCCAAGTTCCGGCCACAATTTTAATTGTGAACCTGATATTCAGGTTCACAGCATTTTAAATTAAAATATTAGATATGCTGAGAGATGGCTCAGCAATTGCGAGCCATCTTGTAGAGGACCTAAGTTCAGTCCCCAGCAGCCACTTCTGCATTCGTGTGCACAAACCCACACAATAATAATATGCATGCATATTATTTAATATTTAAAATATGTATAATTATTCAAAAACTGTATATCAGGTGAGGTGCTGATTAACATATAAACTGTCACCTCCAGGGCTACAAGTCAAGTCTGACACATTTCTGCCAACCAATGTTCCTTAAATGGTGCTTGTCACACCCTCTGTGGGCTTGCCCCATCGTTGCAAAACCTCTCATTTGTGTATCTCCTAACATGAAATGTGATCCTTCATGAAAAACTGAGACTGCAGATTTGATTCTTGCTCATACTCATACGTAACAAAAAAATGAACAAAAAGCCTGGAGACGATGTGTGAACTTACGCTAAGAAGGAACAGGTGGCTAGAAAAAGAATGTGATAGAAAAAAGCTAAAATTTTAGAATTCTAAATGCAGGAACCTTAGACTACTGCCTGATGACTTTTTAACCCTGAATAACAGGCAGATAGCTGCCCTTAATCTATAATGGACCTGAGATATGTGCCTTCAGAAGACAATGACAGTCATCAGACCAGCATCTTTCATTCAGATATTGACAGGAGATTCAAGACTCCTGCAGGCACACTCAGGTTTGAGCTAAACTGTAGAGCATTCCATATTCAGGATAATGACAATAAGTACACATGTGTGTCTCAGTGACTCTATTCTCTAACTTTAATACTAGTTCAGTAGATCTATCAATCTTGATTTATCAACACACAATTTTAGCACTGGGAACTGAAAAGAAAGCAACATTTGTAGAGAAGCCATGTCCTTTGTCTAAGCTGAGTTGTGCAGTCTCTTGTCCCTTCAGTAAGATGAGAGTCTACCCTTTAAAGTGCCTCGTCACTGGCCTCTACTTCCTTCCTATTTTGCTTTGAAACTCTAGATCAGTTACAAGTCCTGTAAACTATATTTGCCAATGGAGAGTCTCTTTTCTTTGTGGGTGTGGCCACTAGTAAGTGACCCATTCTCCAGTAGATGGGCCTACATGCATCTGCATATTGAACTCAGAGACTTAGTAAATAAAGAAAAAAAAAAAGAGAGAGCATCAAGTTGGGAAGGATAATATGCTAGGGGAGCTGGCAAGGGGACTGGATGGGGAAACTGGGAGTAAATATAAATCAAAATCCACTGCAAAAACATTTCTCCCAGCTTAAAAGAAGACAGAGTATATATGCTACATTCCAGTATTGTTGAAAAGTTAAAAAAAAAAAAAATACAGTGGCACTTGCCACACAGCAAACATACAAACACATACTACCTGAATAAAAAATGGTGCGTATTTATCTTCCATGTAGCCAGAGGGAGTGATAAAATTTGCACAAATCTAAGACAAAGAATGGTGGCTCCAAACTGTGACTTCCTGATGTATTCATCTCTTATCTCAGTCACTAAAGGGTTGTTCACACCCATTGTCACTTATAAGCTTACACGGAATCTGCCTCCCAGAGGACCTAACTTCATTGTTGGGTTGAATATTTACTAAATAAAAAGGCCAGATTGAAACCAAAGTTTGACTGATTCCTAAGCACAAGTTCTTCTTTTCTTTTTCTTCTAGATGATATTGGCTTTAAAAACAATAAAACTATGTTGACCTCATATTACCAATAGGGAACTATACCAGGAAGGAAAAAAAGATGACTTTTATATATGTAAAAAGTCACATAGAAAGAGAATAAACCGATTTACAGTGTGTGGGTGAATTAATGCTTCATGTGGGTGGTAAATCAGGAAAAAAATGCTTGAACACTCTTAGCAGAGGAAGATAAACTCAGATGGGGGTGGGGACTGACCCTAACACAGAGCCAGAGTCAGAACCTTCAAAATTCACACCAGTGGCATTTACAAGGCAAATTAAGAAGATCTGATAATTTCTATATTCACTTAGAACAATTAAGTGGGAAAATGGAAAATTTCTAGTATATTACCATATAATCAACAAAAGTACTTTCCCAGGGGCTGACTAAGAACCAAGTGTAATGATATAGATGCATAAAAATTTCACGGGGACACTCACTTCCATGTTCACTGACTAAAAAATTGAATTAAAAACACTCCCAGGCCAGGCGGTGGTGGTGCATGCCTTTAATCCCAGCACTTGGGAGGCAGAGGCAGGTGGATCTCTGTGAGTTCGAGACCAGTCTGGTCTACAAGAGCTAAGCCACAGAGAAACCCTGTCTCGAAAAACCAAAATAAATAAATAAATAAATAAATAAATAAATAAATAAATAAATGAACTACTCCCAGTTGTCTGTAAAGAAAAAGAATGAACAGATAAACATTTTCTCTGCAATGTGGGTCTCATCTTTAAATGAAATAATAGCCTGAGTCACGGAATAAATTTAAGGAATAACATTTGTGCCTTATGTCTGACTGCAGGAATGAGTTGTCAGAACACAGGTAAATTACAACATATGCTAAAAAGATGTTTCCTGGAAAAGCACACATACTTAAAGAATTTCAAATGTAAACAAGAAAAGAGGGGTGGAATTCATCAATAGAGCTTGTGTCTGATATACAGAAGGCCTGAATTGCAGTATTAAAAATTAAATTTAAAAAATACTAGATAGTATTTCAAATCTCCACTGAATATCACTAAGTAACAGAAACTCAGGTGTTAAACTCATTACTTCTATAAATCATTAAATCAGAAGATTTTTCGTTAGCTTAGAATATATTTATTTCTATTTAAAATATAAAATGAACAGAAGTAATTCCACTTGCTGAGATATTTCTAGATAAATAGCTTAAACATAAACTAAGTGTGACAAATACTAGCAAAAGTAACAACAGAAACTAAATCTCCGTTTTCAGGCTCCTGTCCCTTAGCTGATGCATTCATGTATGAAATGGGGACATCACTGGTAAGTACATTCTTTTAAAATAAACAACTTTTCATAAAAGGGTGTTTTCAATTGCACATTAATTCAGTACACTACTTTGCTATTTTGCTATTTAACAATTGCTCTTACCATTCTTTAGGGGTTTGTTCTTATTAATAAATAACAGTAAACAATACTGTACACAAGAAAAAGCCTGAGGAAATGTTAGAGAAATTGCAATGCAGATGTTTTTACCCTCATCAACTATATAAGCATTAAGAGTATATATTTGGTGTTTTGTTTTTGAGGATTTTTGCTAGTTTGGTTTTGGTTTTTGGAGACAGGGTTTCTCTGTGTAGCCCTGGCTATCCTGGAACTCACCCTGTAGATCAGGCTGGCCTGGAACTGAGAGATCCGCCTGCCTCTGCTTCCCAAGCACTGGAATTAAGGGTGTGCACCACTGTCACCACAACCACCCAGAAAGAGACTATATTTTAAGAGAACTTTGCTTAGCTACTAATAGACATGAAGGAAAGATATAATCGAGAGTGGGACTCTGTCACATTTGGGCTATAACAGAGATCTAAAACTGGTCAAAGAGTTGGTTAGCTATAAAACTCTTCATATAGAAATTGTATTAACATCTGTTTTGGTGCTTCTTCTGTCTCTAAGACAACATACTGACACAGCGGGCACTCAATACTACCCTACTGATTGGCCAAATGACCTGAAGTTGTCCTAAGACTACCTTAGAACAAGAGCACTGCTGGGAATAAGAAGGAGCATACCGGATGCCCAATGGTGTCCACAAAACATGCTGATAAAATAAATTTACCCATCTTCCCCTAGGTGCCCAGAAACACATTTTTATAGTTTTCCTGAGACAGTTAAAAGATAAAATTCTCTTCCAGAAATACCGATTATGGTTCCCACAGTGATGGCAATTTCTTTTAACTCCCTTCGAGTCAAACTTACCATATATAAGATGGCCACCATCTATAAAAATAAAAGGAGAGAGGAACAAAATTATAAAACTAAACATTTTACTTTTCATTCATTTGCTAACAACTTAAATATATGTATATATTAACCAGCTATTCATACTTTCATAAGTTAAAAAACTAATTTTATATATATATATAT